CGACGACGACGACGACGACGACGACGACGACGACGCCGACGCCGACGACGACGTGGCCAGACCCACCCCCTCAGGCCTGCGGGCCCCTCGCCAGGGGGCCGCAGCTGGGGCGCCCGGCGCGGCCAGGGGGAGAAAAAGAAGGAGGAGGAGGAGGAGGTCCGGAAGATTAGAAGAAGGTGGAGGAGCAGGGAGAGGAGGACAAACGGATTGTAGGAGGAGGCTTTTATGTAACCAAAAAATGCATGCGCTACTCTCGAAATTGCCGCTGCCAATGTCCGCCGCCACGCCACTATCCACAAGTATCGCAAGCTCACGGCGAAGGACCGAGGGAAAGGAGGGGCAGGGGAAGGAGGAGAAGGGGTCAAGGCACCGTGCGGAGATCAGGCAGGCAGGAGGAAGGGGGGAGAAGGAACTTCGATGATGATGACCGACACCAAAACTTTGACTGATTGTTGCACCTGCTTTGAACTCCCGAGGAACGGACTGAGGTACTGTACCCGCCTGGAGGCGGAAGAAGAGGACAAGGAGGAGCAGTGGGAGGAGGAGGAGGAGCAGCGGGAGGAGGAGGGGGAGGAGGAGGAGGAGGAGGAGGAGGAGGAGAAGACATCCAGAAGGGCTTCTGGCTGACTTCGGGACACGTTCGGAGGTTCGTCTGGCTTTTCCGAACCATCCTGTAGTGTTTGGTTCCTCCTTTTGAAAAGACAGCGCCCCGCGTTCTCCTCCTCCCGCTGCCACCCCTCCTCCCCTTCCTTACCTCTGCTCTCCACGCCCGCCAACCATGTCGGCTCACCCCTCACACGCTTCGTGGCCCCATGGGGAGCTCCGCCGAGGGCCCCAGCCCCAATGGCAGGGTCAACATGCGCCCGCGCGACCCATGTCGGCACGCCCCTGACACGTTTCTTGGCCCCATAAGGAGCTCCGCCGAAGGCCCCAGCGGCAAGAATTTCATGCGTCCGCGCGACCCACTTAGGCACACCCCTCATACGCTTTGTGGCCCCATAGGGAGCTCCACTGAAGGCCCCAGGGGCACGGCAGGGCTTACATGCGCCCGCACGACCCATGTGGGCACAGCCCTCACACGTTTCGTGGCCTTATCGGGAGCTCCACCGAAGTCCCCAATGGCCAGACTTACATGCGTCCGCGCCACCCATGTCGGCACACCCCTCGCACGCTACGTGGCCCCATCGGGAAGTCCACCGAAGGCCCCAATGGCGGGGTCTACATGCGTCCGCGCGACCCATGTCGGCACACCCGTCACACGCTTCGTGGCCCCATAGCGAGCTCAAGCAAAGGCCCCAATGCCAGGCAGGGTTCGCATACGTCTGCGCCACCCATGTCGACACACCACTCACACGTTTCGTGGCCCCATGGGGAGCTCCACCGAAAATCCCAGCGGCAGGCTTTACATGCGTCCGCGCGACCCATGTCGGCACACCCTCACACGCTTCGTGGCCCAACGGGGAGCTCCACCGAAGGTCCCAATTGCGGGGTCGACCTCCGTCCGCGCGACCCATGTCGGCACACCCCTCACACGCCTCGTGGCCCCATAGGGAGCTCCACCAAAGGCCCCAGTGGCAGGGTTTTCATGCGTCCGCACGACCCATGTCGGCACACCCCTCACACGCTTATTGGTTCCATCTGGAATTCCGCCGAAGGCCCCAGTGGCAGGGTCCACATGCACCCGCGCGACCCATGTCGAAACACCCCTGACACGCTTCTTGGCCCCATAAGGAGCTCCACAGAAGGCCCCAGCGGCAAGAATTTCATGCGTCGGCACGACCCATGTCGGCACACCCTCACACGCTTCTGGGCTCCATATGGAGTTCCGCCGAAGGCCCCAATAGCAGGGTTCACATGCGCCCGCGCAACCCATGTCGGCACACCCCTCACACGTTTCGTGGCCCCATGGGGAGCTCCACACAAGGCCCCAGTGGCAGGGTTCGCATGCGTCCGCGCCACCTATTTCGGCACACTCCTCAGACGCTTCGTGGCCCAATGGAGAGCTCCTCCGAAGACCTCAAAGGCAGGCCGAAGGCCCCAGTGGCAGGGTTCGCATGTGTCCTCACCACCCATGTCAATACACCTCTCGCACGGTTCGTGGCCCCTATAGGAGGCTCCACCGAAGGCCCCAATGGCAGGGTTCACAGGCGTCCGCGCCACCCATGTCGGAGGTTGGTGCGGCGCTGTCGAGCCGCAGGACGACTGGTACGCTGACAGCCACGCCGACGGCCCCGCGGACAGCGGCGCCGACGGCGGCACCAACAGCTGCACCGACTGCGGGACCAGCAGCTGCGCCGACAGCTGCGCCAACTGCTCCGCCAGCGGGCGCCCCGCCAGTTGTGCCGACCGCGGCGTCGACTGCGGCGCTGACTGCGGCACCGGCAGCCTCGCTGGCACCTGCGCCGCCTGCGGCGCCGACGAAGGATTTGACCGCTCGCTGGCAGCGGCGCAAACGGCGGCTCCACCGAGGCTGCCGACCGGTCCACCGACGACGGTGCCGACTGCGGCCTGGGCAGCGGCGCCTACGGTGGCGGTAGGGCGTCGCCACCAAGCTCTGCGCGGTAGGGCGCTCAGCGCCCTGGCGGGGGCAGCCCTCGTAGCGAGCCTGGCGGGGCGCAGCGTGGGACTGCGTTGCACTGCCACTCGCTGCTGGTTCGTTTCAACGTCGCCCGTTTGGGGCGCGTTGGCCCATGACAAGCTGGGAGACCGTTCGCGGCACTAGCTGCTCGCTGTCTACTGAATAATTGTTTCGATGCTCGGCGGCTCGCCGGGCCCGGACTGCGGCATCTCGCGTTGCGCTGTGCGGCCACAGTCGCGTTGGGAAGGCCGCCGCTTCGCTTGGCACAGGCAGCCGCAGGCTCTGCGCGGCGGCGAGTCGGCCGTGCAGCGCCGGCGCTGGCACGTCTTGGCAGCCATTGTTTGTTGCACTTCACCTGGCGGCCTCTTGCCGCCCAGACACGCAGACCCAGCCGCTGCATGGAGGCCCGCCGCCGCGAGCCATGTGGGGGCTGCGGCGCGCTGGCCAAGCCACGCCTTGGGGTGCCCCAATGAAACAGGCAGCTCTCGACCGCCGGCACGGCGCCCGATGGAGCGGGACAAGCTGGCCCGCGGCCGCCAGGCTGCCTTGGTCTGCGTGCCGCTGGACCCGCCTCTCTCAGGCGCCGGACGCGGCCCTGGTTTGGGGGCTGCGAGCCGGGAGATGGGAGGCACCGGACCCCTGGGGCTCCGACGAGGAGCGCAGCGGCGCCCTCAGCGCCCGCGTCCTGGGCGGCCCTGCAGCTGCCCCTCTTTCTCCCTTTCAGTCCTTTCTTCTCCTTTTGTGCGCAGCACGGCTTCGCACTCAGCAGCTTGGTGGCTGTCGAGTGTCGGCGCCAGTGGCCCCTCTTGTTGACTGCGCTTTGGGTTTTGTTCTGCTGGTGGCCGACGAGCTGGCGAGCGTGCCGACGAGGCCCGCAGCCGCGGTGCTGCGCGCTTTGCCACAAAACCATGATCCTCGTCTTTCTCCCGCCCTCCTCTTCCTCCCTTCTCCCCCACCCCTCTGTGTTAGTGCACACGCGCCTGCGCGTAACTTGTATAGTCTGGTTGTTGAGACTGTAGGTTATGTGCGGCTGGAGTGGGGACTTTGGTTTGCCCATTTTGGCTCCGCAGCCGCGAGGCTCGAGCCACGGGGTTGTCCACCCACCCCGCTTCGTAACCTGGAGGCACTTTCTCGGCCCAAGCGAGGGCCGACGGGCCGGAGAGCGTGCCCAAAGGGCGCGCAGCCGCGGTGCTGCGCGCCGTGACAGCACGTGCCCAGCAGGGGCGCGTGCTAAGGAATGGGCGACTGGGCCGCTTTGCCACAACACCATCATCCTCGTCCTTCCCCCGTCCTCATATTCCTCCCTTCTTCCCCTCCCCTCTGTGCTAGTGCACAGGCGCCTGCACGCACAATAATATATATATATATATATATATTATATATATGCATATAAATATATATATATATATATATACATATATATATGCATATATACATATACATATACATTAATACATTGATACATACATACATACATACATACATACATACATACATACATACATACATACATACATACACACATGCATACATACATACATACATACATGCATGCATACATACATACATACATACATAAATACATACATACATACATACATACATACATACATACATACATACATACATCAATACACAAATACATACATACATACATACATACATACATACATACATACATACATACACACACACATACATACATACATACATACATACATACATACAGACAGACATACATACACGTGTTTGCATGCAGGCATGCATGCATGCATGAATGCATATATACAAAAATGCATACATACATAAATACATACACACATACATACCTGCATACATACATACATGCATACCTACATACATACATACATACATTCATACATACATACATACATACATACATACACGCATACATACACACATCCATATACATATATATATATATATACAAATACATATCCATATACATATACATATACATAGACCTAGACATATACATATACATATACATATACATATACATAAACATATACAGTTACATATACATATACATATACATATACATACACATATACATATACATACACACATACCTACAGACATACACACATTCATACATACATTTATAGCTACATAGATAGATGCATGCAGACATAGATACATATATTCAGACCGACAAACGTACATACATACATACATACATACATACATGCATGCATGCATACAGAATACATGCATCAATGCATATATATATATGTATAAATAAATAAATCCATACATACAAACAAAAAAAACATACGTACAGACATGCATGCATGCATACATACATGCATGTGTATATCTATATAGGCAGGCAGACAGACAGACAGACAGGCAGGCAGGCAGACATGCATGCATGCACGCATACATACATGCATATATGTATATATACACATATATATGTGTATGCCCGAGGATGTGCTTGACGGGCCAGATGGGCTTCCTCTCTCGCCAGCAGGGTTCGCTCTGTGTGCTGATCTTGCCAAGAGCCACGACGCCAAGAGCAACGCACATGCACATTTACAGTCGGAGGCAAACGCTTGCCCAGCACAGCCAATTAGCACGCGCACGAAGGGATAGCGCGGGGACTTATTGTCCTTAAAAGGCGGCGAAAAACAGGGTGGTTTGGGGCGGCAAAACGCATAGCGGACGGAGGCCGTGGGAAGCTTAAGCACAGACAATTAAAGAGACGGCCCTCGTCGACAATCCGAGGCAAACAACCCACATGTAAACAAAGGTCTATGTATGCTCGAGGATGTGCTTGACGGGCCAGATGGTCTTCCTCTCTCGCCAGCAAGGTTCGCTCTGTGTGCTGATTTTGCCAAGAGCCACGACGCCGAGAGCAACGCACACGTACCTTAGTCGGAGGCAAACACTTGCCCAGTGCAGCCAAATACGCCTTTCCAGCCAAAGGTAAACTCTGGTATGCCGTTGCATATACCCACACCCCCAGCGTAGCCAACTCGACCATTGACAAAGATTTGACATTATAGAGGCTAATACTAGCATATGATCTCATAATCCCGTTACACATTTTCCGAGGATACGGCTCAGCAGTTTTAATACGATGGACATGATTAACGTCATGACCCTAGAAACATATGTGAGGCTTGCCAGTAAAGTCGCAGACTTCTGTGCCGTGGCATTGAAAAACAAGATGTGAGAGGACAACGTTGGCGGACACGAACCTTGTCCGTTTCCTCCAGAGCATGCCGCAGGCACAATAATCTAGGACAGCGATATCGATGTCAGAGCGCCTTAAAATCTGAGACCAGGCAGGCATTGACCACAGACGACTGCAATGAGGGTTCTCGATGGCGACGGGGATCATCATCGAGCGGGCCAGGCGAAAGAAACCAGCGGAGATCGAGCACAACTCGTTGGCCTCCTGAACGTTGGACAGGACGCGATCAGAGAGGCCCAGGACTCCGCCAGGATACTGCCTGGATCTCCAGCCCTCCCGGTTAGCCATCGAGAAGGTGGCGCACGGGGTTGCGAGCCACAGGGTTCTCAGCATTTTCGAGCGCATCCAGCCGCTGACGAGGCGGGCGAGGGCCCGATTGGTAAGATCGTGAGCCAGCCCGAAACGGATATCGATGGCAAACACGGGCATATGTCTGAGACCAGGGGTCGAACGCCATGCCGCTGACCAGCGCGCCGGTCCAGCGAAAAGCTCTAATGCAAACCCATCTTCTGGAGCAGCGAGCAAGCTCGGGATGGTACGAGGATCATGGACGACAAACGCTCGGCGCACTCTGCGGCGGTCACCTACGTGGGCACGTCGAGGCGCCGCAGCTGCTCGTTCAGCCGGCCAGCCTTGACGTGCCAGCGGAGGGACGCGTCCGACTGCCATCGGCCGCGCTTCTTCGCGCCCGTAGTGTCCCGCCCGCCGCTGAGGATCCCGTGGCTGGCGCCCCCGCGCCGCAGCTGGCACAGCGAGATGGGCGCCAGGGCGGACAGCGGGAGCGCGTTCACGGCCTGCTGGAACTGGGCGCACCACTGGCCGTAGGTCAGCCCGACAATCAGATCGTCGGGATCGCCGCGGCTCGCGATCGCCTCGAGGACCCGGCTGACCCACCCGAACTCCACGCTGTCGCGCAGCAAGCTCTCGTCGAAGACGGCGGTCTTGCTGGGCACCCCGCCTTCGATCGGGTTGAGCAGGGTGCTCCACTTCCGCAGGGCGACCGGGCAGCCGCGCGGTGGCGCGACCAGGTCCCGGCGGCGCAGCCGCAGCAGCTCCGACGGGCGGCAGTAGAACACGAAATTCAGGAGCGTCATCCAGGCCGCCTCGATCAGGCCGAGGGCCAGCAGCTTGGCGATGATCAGTGCGGTCACAGTCCAGGGAGGCGGGAGGCGAGCGCGCGACGGCGCGAGCTTTCCAAACCCCCTCAGCGCTCGGCGGGCCCTCGGGAGCTCCGGGGTCCGGCGCGCAACCCGAGGGTCGCAGAACATGAGCGCGGCCAGCAGTGCGGACGCACGGTCCATCACCTCGCCGTTGAAAAAGGTCGTGGAAGTACGCTACAACCGCATGATCGAGGTCGACCAGGGTCGTCGCCGGGAGCTGCAAGGCGACGGTCCACTCGGTGAAGGTCTGGGCCATCTCGCGGTACCGCACCTGCTGGGCCGGCCGCGCAACGCTCCGCTCCAGCAACGACTGCCCCGGGGCTCCTGCCACGCCCTCGCGCGGGCGCTGGCGAGAACGTGCGCGGCGCCCGTCGTCGCGTCGGGCGCTCTCCAACGCTGCGCGGCTGAGCACGCAGCGGGGAGCCGACACGCGGCTGGAGCCCAGCGCCTGCGCCGCCCGCTTCGGGCGGGACGAGGCCGCCGCCGGTCGGCGCCGCACAGCTGGCGGGGTGATCCGCTCCGAGTAGGGCACTCCCGTTCTGGCTGTCGGAGTCCACGTCGCCAGCGGAGCCGAGGCCGCCGAAGGCGCCCCCCAGGAGGCGGCCGGCTGCGCGGACGCGGCGCTCGCGAGCGCTGGCGGCCGCTGCGCCCCAGGCCTCTGGAGCATCCGCCCGCCGCGGCGGGGCTGGGACAACGGCCTCGAGACCCGGGGGCGCGCCCGAGCTGCGGGCACTGGCAGGTGCTCGAGCTAGGGGCACGTTGCGGGAAGGAGGATCGCTGGCATCATGATCGGACGGGACCCACCGCCACACGCGACAGGAGAATGACACGAGGGCTAGCGCAGCGCGTTGCCGACATATCCGCATCATTCCCCGTGCCGAGGAGCGGCCTTTCGTCACCGCCAGAGTGGGTGCCATAGAGTCCCCGAGGTGAAGGCGCCGACGACCGAACGAGGCCAGTGAACGGGTGCACCGCTTAGTAGACCAAACCATCGCCCGACCTTCGAGGCAAACCTGAGGCTCGGAGCGGGCCCGGGACCGAGAGGTCACAAGGCGCCACTCACCGTCCCACACCCACGACGGGATCGGGGGGAAAGCATCAGGACGCGGATCCAACGGCGCCCCCGGGGCAGGCCCCAGCGGGGCCCCGCAGGCCGTCCTCCAGAGGCGCGGGACCCGAGCAATCCCGAGGCGCCGGGCGCCAAAAACCCCCCAGACCCAGGCCAGCATTGCGAGGCGAGCCGGCCGCAGGCGACGAGAGGAGGGCGCCCAAAGAACACCGGAGCTGCTCAGGCCCAGCCCCTGCGGACGCAGCCGAGGCGGGAGCGAGGTGAACGTCGGACCGGGGCCCAAGGGACCGAGGCGGCTCCGGCCGCGGCGACGAAGGGCAGAAGCCCCGAGGCAAGAGGCCAGGAGGGCCGAGTCCCGAGGGCACCACTCTTTCTCTTCGTCCTGGGTGAACCTCCATCGCACGTCGCGCTTGCCTACGTCAGCAACGACGGGGGGGTCGCGGTCGTGAATACATGCGCCCACGCCCCAGCTAGAAGCGCCCACCACCGAAATCTCCGAAACCCACGGGGCAGATAGATCACGACAGGCGAGGACGATGAGGTGACTGGTCCACGTGAACTCCCTTTTCACTGAGGCCCATCGAGGAACTGCAGTATCACCAGCGTGCGCAATGAACGATTACGCGGCGCTGAACACGCACAAGGCCTGGAGGTGTTGGCCGAGCGGTTGCCGCGGCGTCCGCCGAACGGTTGTTGTGAACTTCGATTGCCAGGGCTTCCCCTGTCTTGGCGTCAACCATGCGATTTGGACGACGCGCGCTGCGCTGCACTCCTATCTCGCGCAGTGCGCGAGCGGCTTTTTGCGAAGGATGATCGAAGGGCGCATTGTGTTTCGGCGCCAGCCAAGCGATTTGCGTGAACTCCAACCACCAGAGGGTCCCAGTGCAAGGGTCTAGTAGGCTCTGGATCGCTCGAAGCGCAGGGGTCTGGGAGGCTCTGGGTCGACCGAGGCTTCGATCACCTGGGCGATTCTGGATCGCCCGAAACCGAACGGGCCCAAAAAACTCAAGGCCACGCGAAGTTCATTGGCCTGGGAAGCTCTGAATGAAACCGTTCGGGCACCCACCGCGAGTGCGCGTGGGCGCACCCATTCGCTGGCGGCGTGCGTGGGCGGACGCGCCCAGGCACCCGCGGCGCGCGCGGGCACCCGCGCCCGAATTTACGGCCCGAGTTGACCCCCCCCCGAGCTGGCCGCCCGAAAGTACCGACCAAAGGGACCAGACGAGTTGACCGGCCAAAGTGATCGGCCGAGTCGAACGGCCGAGTTGATCGGCCGAGTGGATCGGCAAAATTCATCGGCCGAGTTGATGGGCCGAGTTGGTCGGCCGAGTTGATCGGCCGAGTTGATGGGCCGAGCTGATCGGCCGAATTGATCGGCCCAAAAGATCGGCCAAATTGATCGGCCGAGTTGACCGCGCGCGCGCGCGTTGACGCGTTGATCGGCCAAGTTGATAGGCCGACGCGCGCTTTGATGAGTTGATCGGCCAGATTGACCGCCCAACCGCGCGTTGACCGCCCCGCCGCGCGTTGACCAGCCGAATTGACCGCCCGGGTTGACCGCCCAGCCGCGCGTTGACCGCCCCGCCGCGCCGTGACCGACCGAATTGACCGCCCAGGTTGACCGCCCAGCTGCGCGTTGACCGCCCGGCCGCGCGTTGGACGCCCGAATTGACCGCCCGAGTTGCCCGCCCAACCGCGCGCGGACAGACCTGGATCGGCCGCCCATCGGCCGGTGGACCGCCCCAGGTTGACCGCGCAACCGCCTCCCTCGCACGCAGCCGCGAAAGCAAGTGGCGGGAGAGACTCGGCTACGACGCGCTGGGAGACACCAGCGGCCTCAGAGGCGCGTCCGACGGAAAGCCGCTCGCGCTGCGTTTTTCGCGCACGGAGGTGCCTGGCCGTCGCGCGCGCGGGAAATCAAACGCGAGCGCCCTTCTAGCCGTCGCGCGCGCGGCGGCGCAGAGGCCGCC